ACATATATCTCACTCAGTTCATCAGCAATGGTTCAGTATATTCAGTAAAGGTACTTCCTACTTGCTGGGTAGACTTTCACTAAGCTCGGCTAATCGGCTTTTCGGGTTCCATGATGAGGAGGTTCCTTCCTCTTCCTCCTGCTCACTGTTCATATCATGTTGTCACCAAGTTCTTGTGCATCTTTCTGGATTAAGAAGTATTCATGGGTCGTTTATTCCTATTAGTTCTCCCCTTCCAAGGGAATTCTTAACCAGTTGGGTGGTATTTGAAGCACACCTTCCTCGTGGAAAGTCTAGGACTAAAAGCTCCGGAGAGTTGCTGAAATCATGGCTGGGGAAGTAGACTATTCTTGAAATTTCAATCAAGAGGTTTGGTTTGATATTGTTGTGTGGTGCTTAATGTCGCTCTGATTGACCGATTGAGATATTTACGTACCTAGGTAGATTGTTTTTAGTCATTCGCAAAATGGTCAGCCAGATTGTCGAGCGTTTATCTTCTCGGGCTTCTTTTTTGGTTTGAAAATACTTTAGTTGATGTGGGTAAGTATTGGTGAAGCTTCTTAATAGAATTATTAAAGGGATCAGATCGGTTTTGGATTCATCGTTGCTTGTGAAAAGACATGGAGACGAAGAAGTCCCGGGTGTGTTTAGATGATTTCTGCACTTTTCATAGGTGAAATATCAATATTTCTCCTCGGGAATGTCTCTATTCATTCATGTTTATCCCTTGAAGGTTGCCATTCCTCACATCGATCGTCAATGATGCTTCAGTGGGTATTTGAACTGTCATTCATTGCTACTTCCTTCTTCATTAACAAATCTTACGTATTTCCTTCCCCAATTTCTACCATTCAGATATGACTCCTCTCCCATTTTTTGCTATCCGATCGTCCCACTTCAAGGTTGCAATGCTTATCCGCAATGTTCTACGCCAACTCCCTCCTCGTTCCTTCCTTAAATAACGAGAACTCCAGTATTTGCACTGTTTGCTCACTTTTTCCCACACTAGAGCCCTCTGTTGACCTAGCACAAACCATACTGTTTTGTTATAAAGATCGGGCTTCCCGCCGTCGTTCTCTTCTTTTTCCTTTTCTCTACATGCACCACCACGCATATACTCAATTTTTGTCATTAAAACCATGTCCCTGGTATTACACTGCCTCCAGGTGATGTGGGAAACTATTTTTCATTGAGATGTTCGCTTTATGCTGGCACTCGAAGAAGAATTCTTTTGCTTCTCTGTCATCATTGCTATTGTTCTGCTGGTAACATTGTCGTGATGATTTGATGGTGTTGTGTGTTTTTGCAAAGGTCGTATGTACTATCTTGTATCTTAGATTGCTCCCTGTATTCAAAACTAGCTTACAATGCTCTCTTGGAGAGTATAGCTACAAAGACATTGTTGAAGGAAGGTTTCGAAATTTCTGTGAAGGAGATGATGATGATGATGGCAGCGGTGCTGGTGAACTGTGTACGTTGATATCCGTTTTTTTAATTGGTAGCAGTAATACCCATTAATTCTTGGTCTCTACTAGATTTCAATCGAGGTGTACGCTGTGCACACTCTCAAAGCTTCTACCAGTAGAAATAGACATATAAATACAATGGAGAGTCATGTGAGCCCGTTTGCTCGAAAACTGCCCTCAAAAGATATCATCACATGATACTAATAAAAAGCGATCTCTCAAAGGGAAAAACACATGATTTACTACGGGCATACAAAAACTTAAACCCCTTGGTACTATCATTCGCTCTTAGGATCTATAGAATTATGATGATCACTTGTAAGAAATTCCTCATAGAAGCCCCTCATTATTCACAATATTAAGTTTCTTTTGCCTCTATTCACACTGAATCTTAAGGTTTTATTGAGTGATACTCCAGCATTATCCATTGGCATTCAACTTTTCTAAACACTTTCAGGCACTTGTGGAATTTGAACTTTGTGGTAAAATTCCTTCTTTATCACTACCTATGTAACTAATCATTTTCTCCTCGAAAGGTTTACAAGGGTTTGCTCGAAACTATACTTATGGCAACTATCCAATCCCCAAACTCCAACCAATGAGTTTTTGCAAGATGATACTCGAAATATGTTGGCACCGTCCACCATTCTAATTGCCTCGATAAGTACTCAGATATTCGTACGGATTGAGAATTCAAAAGTTAGCTGATTCAGAGTCTAAATTCATCCAGGACAAGAAAGACTTACCATATGTTCCACGTTTGTCCGTCGCAGGTTGTATGTGAGATACCTTTGAAGATGTAGTATCTCTTAAAAAGCCAAATCCCTCTAATAATCAAGATATATCTTGCCCTCACAAATTTTGTGTATGAGGTAGTTGTGAACAAAAAATTGAATATAGTTGAGATTCTCGAAGAGTCTCTCTTTCTGAAACCAAGACCATGTCTTGTCCTCACAAATTGTGTATGAGGGATTGATGCACAAAAATTGACTCAGCACCACCAAAAAAATCAACAATTTTTGGAATCAAAACCATGTCTCTTCCTCACAAATGATATGTGAGGTATCGATCCACAAGAATTGACTTGCCACCACGCAAATAATCAATTTTTGAAATCAAAACCATGTCCTGTCCTCGCAGTAAATATTCTGCGAGGTAATATGAAGAGAAAAAGAAAAAGAAAAGAATTCAGAATCCGGGGGAGTCAGACCTTTTATACCCATTGGGTGTGGGGTACTTTCTCTAGTGAGTGAAATTACGCAATTAGTCTACTTGTTAGGTTAGTTAGAAATGATATCGGGGGAAGTGGAGTTACGTGTGCTGAATGTGTTCGCTTATGTTAGGGGTTTGCGGGGAACTACATTACTATGGTATGCCTAGTCTCGAGCTAGTAGTCTTAGGCTCGATGAAGCTTATTTTCGTGACATTTTTCACTTAAAGTTTCCTTGGTATTGTCCTCGTGACTGTTATTGTTATGAATAGGGACTGGTCTTGAATAGTCATCAATAGACAAACCAATTGTTGCAAAATTTTCGGTTAGATGAGAATCCCGAAAAGGGTTTATCCAATATCTTAACCTTACCTCCGTTTCTCAAAACGACAGATCTCTTTCAATCATCATCTCATGGTCACCTACATCAGAGTGAGCTAGGTACGAATGGATACTCCATGCATCGAGAAAGATCGTCTCCTGCGTGATCACAATCAGGGAGTCGATCATGAATCTAGCAATCAACCAAATAACTAGAGCAATGCATACACGACTAATAAGCCAATCAGCGTGAAATCAGGAATGGGATGGAATCTCCAATAAATGCTAAACGAGTATCGAATCCCGTAAAGAGATTATTTTCCCCAAACTTTTTCCCATCCCCCAGTAGTATAGATAATAGCATTTCCCGTATTCAATATACAGATCGAATTCGTCATAATTATTGAATTTCTCTAAAAGATTAGCGCATGTAGTGTTGAAAGCTATACTACTTAAAGTATTCAATATTATTTAGCTATTTAATATTATTAGTGATATTTATATATAAGAATAATACAAGAATAATATACCTTTGTCAAACATACTAACTTAACTATTGTATTAATAGATCAATACACGCTAAAGTTTTACTAGGTATAGTATTGGTATAGAATGCTATTACCTCTACTATCCCCCAGATCTCCATCTCCAGTATACCAAAGTCCATCCCAGTTTTCCATATTCATTTCATTTTCCAGTCCCGATACAAATCTAACCAGTATGCCAAGCACGACTTCCTGATTATTGAGATCGTAGCTTGTGTCCATAAAAATTTAATTAAAAACAGTTCTCACAACCAGTAGGTAGTTATAATAATCCATCGATCAGTCCTCGAGGGTATCCTTCGCAATCATAAAGAGTAGAATAATACCTCCTCCCAATCCATAAACACACACGCGAAATATTCATATTAATATCCATTTCCTTTCTGATCACAGTACATACCTACCTACCCACCTACCTACCTACCTACCTACCTACATAGTTGCACACAAAATTCCAGATTCAGAATTTGAGATATTTTCCTACATTCTTGATTTTGACCTAGGTATCCATACTAATGAAAAGATGACTTGCTGCTAGCCTCTCTCTCGATACGCGATCGTATGGGTTTTCGTTTTCATTTCGTCCTCCTCCTCCTCCTCCTCCCCCTCCTCCTTCAACCATCACAACAACACCCAAACAAATCACTCTAGACTCAACCCCCCAATTCCTCAACCCTCCAATTCCTCAACCCCCCAATTCCTCAATCCATACTCTAACCAAGTGCCTAACCAAAAAAAAAACCTTCTCGCCCCTCTCGCCCTTCTCCCCCATCAATTAATATCTACCTCCATTCTCCCCTCTCATTCCTCATATTTCCACATTTCCACATTACCACATTACCACGGTACCCCTCATTAAAAGAGAAGTCGTTCTTCAAGAATATGAATCTCCTCTCCCTTCCTCTCATATCTATATCAATCTACTCACCGGCGACATTACAGCCCAAGACATGATTAAAACAGAAGGACAAGAGTGTATGCAACATCACATGTAACAAGTAACAAATAACTTGTCAAAAACTCCTCAATCACGAGCATCAACCCCAAGTCCCTTCTCCGTTTCAACAAAGTCATCATCAAAGTAACCATTCACATCACAATAGGAATCACAAATGCAAAATGTATCTCTCTTTTTATGAAGTACCATTCTTTCCACGTTTGATTAAAAGCTAATTATATACCCATCCTCCTAATATATTGATAATGTACCCGAATACCCCGTTGATTCTCCCATTGTTGCGCAGCCAAAGCTCGTAAAAAAGATCTCAAATAAAATGAGTTCATAAAAGCTCTGCAAATAAATATGTTAATATGTAAGTGTCCCATCCAGTAATAGTATCCTTTTGTGGTATCATAATGTCGTCATTTCATGAAACCATAACTCATTGAGCAAATATCGCAATGATGCGTGTAGATAGATAAGTTGTAAACAAAAGAAAAGCAAAGTTTTTGGTGTGGTTAAAGGTCGAGAATGATATCTCGCAATTCCTGGCAGTCGGCCTTGGTAAGTTCACCGGACAACTTCTTGGCGACGATGAATTTCTTCAACTTTGTGAGATCATCGTCGTCTCCCTCGTTGGTTGGTCGACTTGGGTTTTCACTTACGCCAATGTCACCATCATAAGCGTAGTCGGCAAAATTGGCAGGAAGAGCACTCTTTTCCGCACAAATGATGCGATCCTCAGGACTGAGTAACTCAGGCTTGACATGGCGACAAGTGAGAGCAAAACGCAAAAGACCATGAGGTGTAACGGCATGCTATTAAGATTGATTAGTATAAAGAGTTGTGTGGTGATCCAAAGAGGGTACTTACTTCATAGTATTTATGAATTCCAGATCCGTGCATAACAATGATGTCGCCATGGTTCAGAGTGACCTTGACATAGTCTTTCTTGGCTGCTTTGGAACCAAGATTGCCCTTACCGGGCTTGAGAACACCGCCGATTGTGCTTTTGTTCTTTGGACGGAAGCACATGGTTGAGGATGCTCCGAGAGATAAGGTTGCAACGGTTTCACCAAGAGTATCTTCTCCATCATCGTGATACTATTGTAAGTCAGTATACCGATGTAAGAAAGAGAGGAAGGATGTACATACACCAATGTGCATGTTCTCAAAGTAACCAAGGGCCAAGACTTCGTTGAAAGGAGTAAACTCGGCATCGTGCTTTCCGGAAAATGCTTGTTTCCCAGCCCAAGTCATTCTTTGCATTGCCTGGAGGATAGGTATTGGAGCATCTTCAAACGAATTGGCGTCATGTGCAACCAAGAACTTGTATGGTGCCCCCTAATTTGATAAATTAGCTATAGCAAAAGACGTAAGTACAAAGTAGAACTTACAAAGTTTGATGCGAAGTGCGCAGTGACAATCTCCATTGGAACTGGTAAAGGTTAGAAATATGACAATGCAAAGGAAGATTGCGGTAGCTCACGACCAGGATGTCTAGCAGGACCTCTGCGGAGCTTGTAGTCATCCTTCTGCATTCCTTGGAACAAATCATTTGGTCCACCTGGTTGGCTGTTGATAAGACCATTAGAGCGGAAAATTTGGATCCATCCAGCTTCTGATGTCTCGCCAGGAAGTTGGAGCTCGTAAACATCATAGTGACCAATGGGCTTGTGGTTGACACGAACGGATTCATGAGCAAACAATATTGGACTCTGATCAACAATGATGTTGTTGCCTTCGATGGCTTTGGTGATGGGAACTGGAACCTGTGTTACAGTGTGAGTGAAATCACAGCTCGGTGTTTCACAAGTCCATTGTCGCCATTCCAAACGACGGATACATCCATGACACTTTGGGCAAACAATGCCTTGTTTGCATCGTTCTTCGACACCAAAGATATCTTCACCGACCAAGTCTGCATCAGTGACAGGCTCAGGACGTAATGGGGGAGGTGCAGCTCCAGCGTAAGGGGTGCGCTCTTGAAGAAACTCCGCACAATATTGGAGGTCATCGCCATCAACTTGATGATCAAAAACGTAAAACGATTCGCACTGAGGGCTTCGACAAGTCCAGCCTTGAGTGTAGATGGTCTTGCATGAAGTATTGCAAGCACCACAAGTTTGGACAACCGTCTTCACACCATCATATCCTTGAGAAAGATGGGCAACAGAGTCGATTGGAGACCACCAAGACCGCTTTGTGAGATCAATCTTTTCCATTCGGACTTTCACATCTTAAGACCACTCTCAAGTTCACACCAGATATCTGTGATGTGGAAAAATTCAAGGACATTGAAATGGTGATTGAGCTTGACAGGGCAGATGGTATTGCGCTGACCTATTGATATATTAGTGGGAAATTCAACTTGGAATTTGGCACACGGCAATAGTAATACTTACCAGCAATCATTGCAATTGGCAGCTTAGCTTCCATGGTGCGTTGGAAAGAGATGGCAATTGAGCTGAAGTCTTGGTCCTTGACCCGCTTCGTTTCACCATCCTCGCCCTTTGACTTGCCACCACCACTGTTATGGAAAATTAGCAAGAATCAATTGTCACTGGAATTCGAGTAACTTACACTGAAGTGATGTAGATATCTTCTGTGAAGACATCGCGGGGACCAACTCCTTGATTGGCGAGGAACCCAGCAATCATACCATTAGTGCGATATGCAGCAGATTCATATCCCTTATGATAAGGAAGTGATGAACAAAGTTGTTGTCTCTTCTCAGCCCATACTGGTGGCTCGCCCCAAGCTTCCGGCTTGTTCAAAGTTGCGTTTGCCAAGGAAGGTAGCTTCTTGACCTTGGCAGCAGCTTTGCGTGATTTTGGAGGGGTTACTCGCGCAGGCTGACGAGGGGATGTAGTCATTACTTTTTTGCGAGGTGGTTCCAACGACTCTTCGGTGGTATCAATGAGAAGGTCTTCGACACTATTCATCACAGCCTTGCGCTTGGTGGGGACCACTGGCTTTTCAGTTCTTGCAAAGAACTGGTCCAACTTTGGCTGTACATTTTTATTGGCTCGAGTACTTCTTCTTGTTGGTGGTGGCGAAGATGTTTCGAGTGTAGTACAAGGAGGCGAGGGTGTATTAAAAAGATTAACTGGTAGATTGGATTCTGACCAAGTGCCATCTTCATTCTGTGGAGAGTAATCTTGGTTCATAAAGAAACCAACATTCTTCAAAACTCAAAAGTTAGTATAACTTGAATCTTTGGAAAGGAAAAAAGTGTGATGACAAGACAAGAGAGAACGTTTCAGCCCAATACTTGTTGTTTCATTTCAAAAAGAAAGAGCCATACACAAAAAGGGAAGAAGTGATGAGTGAATGGTGTGTGGATTGGTTACGAATAATTCAACATTGACTTTCCAGATAAACACCCGAGAAGAAAGTTGTTAAAAATGAAAGGGGAAGGAAGTGTAAAGAGAAGTGTGCTTGGATTTGTGATACTCGAAGGAATTTGTGGAAGGATTATTTCTGGATCTTACCTCTTCTTTGGTGTCGGAGATAGAAGACATTAATGTTTCTGATCCCGAACTGGAAGGACGTAGAATGTCCGATGCTGATGATGATGATTTCAAGTTATCAGACAGACTGGTCTTGCCCCGTTGCTGACGAACCTTTAAAGAAATCATCTTGAACGTGTCAAAGAAAGTCTATTGGTAGGTACGAAGGTAGAGTATAGTGGGTAGTAGTAGTAATAATAATAACGAAGGAAAGAAGTAAAGGGTATCTGAGTGATACCTCGAAGTAAAAAAAGAAAAGTATGAGGGAAGGAAGAAACAAATTGTAAAAATTGAAGAATATTAAGAAGGTGTAGAAGGAAAGAAAGACCGAGTCAATCAAGGGGGAAGTCGAAGACTTAAGTAGGTTCTGGGAAGGTCCTTCGAGAACTCAAATGGAGCTAAGACTAGCGTGGTTTGTTGAAATTCACCTCACCCCCTCATCAAGTCGAAAGATGATAGAACTTCAATCAAGTAAATGGGGTCAGATAGAGGGGTTAGTCTACCCAAAAAGGAAATAATGGAATGATTTACTCTCCGCCTGAAGTTATCTACTGTTTGTGCATGAGAAGAAAGTCGAGTACATGGTGGTGAATTATGGACTTCTGTCCTGCAAGCCTCATATTCCCAGTTTCATCGAAAGACTTTTCTCAATGAGGTATTTTCTCCCCTCAATTGAAAGAACTTTTGACAGGATGAGGGGTATCTTTGCATGATATAAGTGAATTGATCGAGTTAAGAATTAAAAGTTGAACCCCAAATCAGCTCATGGAGTTGACAATTGTTTAAGTTGAAAGTATGGAATTGTTCACATGAAGGAGGGTTGATGAATTGAATCTATCCGACCTTACCCCTATGAAGGGATTTGGCGGACTGCTCCGAACAAATCGCTTATCCGAAGTGAGTCCGAGAATTGAAGTGCATTTCGATGCTGGAGATGATATGGAAGAATAAGCACGAAGGTGAAGACAACAGTGAATTCTACCATGACTTTTGGACATTTTGAAAACCACACCTTAGGTGCAATTCATTCATACCACTTTTGGACCGCAACAATAGCTCACCTAAGCACATGTCGTTATATAGTATATGAAGTATATATATACCTGGTTAAGTTTTGCTTGGAATCCTCAAGAGGTACCTAGCAAAGAAGTAGTAAATCACTTCTGGTGCTGAGATCTTGGCTATCAACTCTTGCTGTCAGAATTCCACTTGAACAGTACCTTTCTAGCTCTCAAAGTGAACATTCCTTAAAAAAAATGCGCATCATTCCCCAGATTCACTGGTTTGGAGATGACGCAGGAATACAACCTCCAACTTCTCAAGGCGAACACGTGCTCTTTAAAGACTTTTAAGTGGTATTTGAAGTTGAGGAATAACGTACAAGATATTTACAATATGATTCACTTGATTTTATGATTCGTTACATCTGGTAGACAGATATGTTTCCTTTCAGGACGGAGAAAGGACCCCTTTCTCCCTTTGCAAAAAAGACACTAACAATCATTAACAACTTTGAACAGACTCATATTCCATCACACGCCTCAATTGACTACCACTAGGACTCAAAGATAAAGTAGAAGACATTGGCTGTTTTATTGAGAATGTCAAGCTGTGAGGTAATTCCTTGATTCTTAAATCGACCCTGCAAAAGAAACCACCTCTCTAGAGACCATCTATGATCCGAATTACTCCATGGTCGAACCAAAGACTGGATAATCCAACTTCTGCCCCCATCAGACTGAAGTTCTTAATCTGATATTTTCATCAAGTAACTTTTTTCATGTACTACATATACCTAGGTAGACTACTAGGTACCCAATACGAAGTTCCCAGCCAAGTATAATGTATAAAAGAGAATACCAAAGAAGAATATCCAACTCCTTGAATTCTTTCTGGAATTGGATATTAGATATACCCAATTTCTGTCTTACGCTTAAGCAATTCCTCAGGCATTAATAGACAAGCACGACAAAGATAATCTGAGAAGTTTGCTTGGCCTTCTGAATGTTTCTGTAAAGTCTCCAAATTACAAATGAAAGGTACTATTCATCGCAATCTGTTTGAACAATCAATGAATGGTATACCTACCAAGATCCTCTTGATATTACTAAACTGCAACACCAAACATAATTCTTGTAGGAAGATCCTAAATTTATATTCTGTTTGGTAGAACTTCAAGTGCAGATCACGACAACCTGTCCTGTCCTGCCCTGCCTTTATCGTCTTGTTAGCACTCGATGGCCCAGACGTAAACTCTATTATCCTCAGCATTTGGTCAGGACTACCACACGACTAGGTATCTCTACCTCCATCTCCATCAAATATTTGCCGGCTTGCTGAGTAAAAACCTCATTCATTGTTTTTGTGGAGGTGATGTTTGAGCATACGAACTGGAAAAACAGAAAACTTTGAATATCAGGTATCCAGTATGCTACTAACGAGTAATAGTATCACCCTTCAAACCCCTATCTCCTCTTCATAACCGACATATCCGATTAATCCGATGAAATGACTAGTGTCAGTACTCCTGTAACTACGTTCATACCGCTTTACCCGTCACACCCAGGTTTCCATTCTCCGCTGCTATACTCCGTACTCCGTATAATTTAGGTTCTTCCTAAACTCAAGCCGATTTAATATCGAACAGTTGCCGACGCTAATGTGCGGTTGAATGGATCACAGTGGATCATTGCACTGACCACAATACCTGGGTTTGAGCTGGGGTCTCCATTTCATTCGTGAACGCAGAGCTGAGCAGTTTTCGGCGTTAAGCAGCTGGTCGTATTTTGCTCTTCACATTTCCGATGTGGTCGGAGAGAGTCAGGTATGAAGATACAAACGATGTAATCTTACATGGCAAGTACAAGGATGGTTTCAAGAACAGTACCTGCGTGCGTACGAGTACACCCTCGAGTTGTGTCACCTCGGAATGATTGGAAGATTCAAATGAAAATCATCTGGATCATATCCACTCACTCTCTCACTCAGGGGGGCCTCGGTTTTCGGTCAGTTACCCGTACAGTAACCGGTATTTGTACTTATATTGAAGTATTCCCCAAACCCCGCATTTCTTAGCAATGCTCGTAGTGGCAGTGTTGTACCGTGGCTTTTCAACGAATCACCAGCTTCAAGTATCTACTAGGTACCTACATATACCTAGTCTTCATTTATGATAGATTGACTTCAACTCTTTCATTTGGATTCCCTCTGTCTTTTTTGAGATAGTCAATATTTATACACAGTTATTGTTTCATCTTGTATATCTTCAATTCATATATACCATCCTTTGATTTGTTCATCTGCAAAAATTTCTTGATTTCTTTTTGCCAAACTTGAGGGTTATCTACCAACGGCGCAAACATCCTTGCTTGATTTCAGAGCTTATCAAACAATAAATCCATCATCATGGTTTTCACACCTCCAGCATGGGTTCCCAATGATCCCTTGAGTATGTGTAAACTTCAATTCCTTCAATTATGAAGCTTCCTCCTCGCCTATGTTTACCTCAGAATGTATAGCTAACAATTCTCGCAAACAGATATCCGGATGATATACCAATCAGTCAATTCATGCTCAATGAGAAACACGGCAGAAGACCTCTCAAATCATCTCGCAATCCATTCACATGCGGCGTCACAGGAAAAACATATACAGCTTCGGAACAAGTGCAACGGGTCGAACATTTAGCAAGAGCTTTATCAAAAGAATTAGGATGGCAACCAAATACGGGAACAGAATGGGACAAAGTAATGGGAATATTTTCTCTCAATACTGTAGGAAGATCCGTTCAAATATACAAACGCATTCGGGGGACTAATAATAATCTCAGATCGATTTCATGACATTGGCATATGCAGTTCATGAATTGGGGGGAGTGGCTTCACCTGCAAATGCTCAATATTCTGCTCCAGAATTGGAATTTCAATTGAAGTCTGCAGGGGCTCAAGCACTTTTCACGGTAAGAATTCAGGCGTCACGAGAATTCGAAATACGGAACTAATTCGAAAATAGTGTATACCTTTACTCGAGACTGCTTTACAAGCTGCCAAAGGAGCCGGAATTCAAAATGATAAAATCTATATTTTAGATATGCCAGAGATGTTGACTGGAGGCAAGAAAGTACCATTCAAGACTGCAGATGATTTGATTTCCGCAGGAGGAAAGCTCCCAAAATTAGAGCCATTGAGAATGGAGAAGGGACAAGCAGCTCGACAAACAGCATACTTGTGTTACTCAAGTGGAACTTCAGGGTTACCCGTAAGTTATTTTCCCTGCATCAATTGAGACAATTCTCAAAGTAATCCCGGGAAGCGCGAATCCTCCCAAACATGGCTAACAAAATATCAGAAAGGAGTCATGATCAGCCACCAAAATGTTATGTCCAATATCCTACAACTCAAAGCGTACGAGAAAGATTATAGAGATCAATGGGAAACTGATACAGAAGTCGGCTTGGGTCTTCTTCCTCTAAGCCATATTTATGGTCTAGTCGTCGTGGCTCAAGGAACAACTTATCGTGGAGATGAAATAATTGTGCTTCCCAAATTCGAGCTCAAATTATTCCTAAACAGTATCCAAACCTATAAAATTCGAGGTCTCTTTCTCGTAAGTATTCTCCATATGAAATTTATTGCAAATCAAAATCTGATGATCATTAGGTCCCTCCCATTATTATCCAGCTTGTAAACAATCAATCCATCTGCTCCAAATATGATATGAGTTCAGTGCGAGGTATCTTCACCGGAGCCGCACCTCTCGGTATAGAAACCGCAGAAGAGCTTCAAAAAATCTATCCCAAATGGGTTATTCAACAAGGCTATGGTATATACTCCTACCCCTCTCCCCTCCCCATCAAAACACACCAAAATCTAACATCCTCCCCTCCCAGGCTTAACCGAAACCTCCACCGTCATCTGCATGTCATCAGCCAAAGATCTCTGGCTCGGCTCCTGCGGATCCCTCATCTCCGGCGTGCGCGCAAAACTCGTCAATCCAGAAGGCATCGAAGTCACGGGGCTGAACCAACCGGGTGAATTGGTCGTCCAATCCAAATCCGTCGTGCTCGGCTATCTCAATAATGAAAAAGCGAATCACGAAACGTTTATCCCCGATACAGATGGAAATGGTAG